GAGTTTGTGATGGATGACTCCTACAACAATCAATACAAATTTATTAGTACTAATAAATACATTCAACAATTCAAATATATGTTGACATGTAGTCACAAATGAAATCACATATTAAGAATCTTTTTTCTTCTTTACAAAATGAACATGCCCGCATTAAAGTAACATTTTTCTTTTCTATACACTTTATTGATATGTTTTCTTAGTTAGGGAGCAATTAATGTCAGGATTTTGGCCTAATTTAAACTATTTCAATGTAAAGCATATTTGTAAAGGTTTTAGCTTCATCTCACCCCCTTTACTTTGTTGTTCAAAAGTTGTTAGTTAATATTTACCAGTTTCCTTTTAGCACATTCCAGCCTTAAGGTTTCACATTTGGAGCAAGTCCAAATATTGTAGATATATATAATTAAGTACACAAATGTGCATTATTATATCCCTCAAGTTTTCAAAGAGCAAGTCACACAGTTATCAGATTTTACCACCATCTAAGTACAACTAGAATGGAACCTCTATATTTTGTATACAAAACGAAAAAAACAAAGATAATAAACACTATTATAAGAAATCATAAGGTTGTTCAAATTAATATGCATGATAAGATGAAAGCAACTTCAAGCGAATGGGCAAATGAAGAAGCAGAAAGAGAAACAATGAAACATATGTAAATATATTGGATGTGTTCGGTAAAAAGGAAAATATTTCTCATGAAAAATGTTTTCTAGGTTATATTACTTATTTTCTTGCGCATTGATAATAAAAAACTATTATCCTAAAAGAAATAGTATACTATTCAGAAAAGTACTATGGAAGGTGGAGGTGAGGAGATAGGGGTTTGGAATGGAGGGGATGAGGGCTATGTAATGTGGGGCTGAAGATGAAGTGTGTTGGAGGGTAGAAGGATACAATCAATATGAAATATCACTAGCTGAGCTTATTTTCCCTACTCTTTTAATGAATTCATGACCTTATTTTCCTAGAGAAAATATTTTATTTTTATTTTTATTAGACCAACCAAACGATAATTGAAATACATTTTTCAAAAAATATTTTTCCTCATACCAAAAATACCCTTAGACTTGTTCATGCATGCAGTTTAAAAGGTAAAGAATGATATTTTAAACTTATTACTTAAAACAAGTCTTAGACATTTCTATAACTATTAAAGCATAATACATAAATAAATATTTAAATTTGGCATTAGTTGTCAGGTAAGTACTTTAAGTTTGAGAGTGTACATCTAGACACATCAAAATCATCTCAACTGAAAACTAAATATTCCTACTCATTCCTACTGTGCCTCGTTGACACCCAACATCCACATGACTCATTACTTTAGAAGTGTCTAGATAATTATTTTGTAAGTCGTATTATTCAACTAACACATTAAAGACAAATTGAGATGTCTAATAGCCCATTTTGATTGACTTAAAAAAGTAGCTTTTAAGTCAAAAATAAAAAAGTCAAACTGAAATGACTTTTAAGTCAAAATAACAAGTAAGGGGAGACCTACTTTTGGTTTCTGACTTATTTTAAGTCATTTTTGACTTATTTTAAATTATTTTTTATATTTGTCAAACACTTCTAGAAGTCAAAAATTGACTTAAAAAGAAGCAAGTCAAAAAAGAAGAATTGAAATAAACTAAAAAAGAAGTATTTCATAAATTAAGACAGAGAGTAACGAAGAGAAAATTATTTTTATTATGAAAATGGTGCAATATGAAAGTGGTAATTAAGGGAAGAAGACGACAAAGATGTTGAGGTAAAGTAGATTGGAATGGAATAAGAGATAGCCAACTCTTTTCCGTTCCGCATATAATTTCTTTCTTCTGCTTTTCTTTAATAGAAAAACCGAAAGGATGGAAAAGTAAAAGAAAACGGTTTGATCACAGTTACCTTTTGACTGCTGAATCCCATGCATGCAATTGAGTATTGTTTGTCTTTTTCATATAATGATTTATTATCAAAACCTCTAGTTACAACTTATTTGGATCGACTTATTTTAGGTTATTTTAAATTAAAATAACTATGTATTATTTATTTATACTATTTGAATAAGGTAAAATAGCACTTCATTCATTCATTTTTTCATTATTTAAAAAAAATAGACTTTTATTTGTAACATATTAAGAAAAAATATTATAATTTTTTTTCTATTTCCACTCAATATTAATTACTTATATCCTAAAATCTAAAATTATACATCAGTTAATTAATATGAATATTGTGCTAAAATACTCATTTTAATCATTGTTTCTTAAGAGATGTGGACAAGCAAAAATAAAAAAACTTTTAAAGATCTACAGTAAGTCATAAGCTATAAGCTCATCCAAACAGATTCTTACTTAAAAAGTTACTCTCTATTTCATTTTATTAATTATATGAAATTCGTTTGAATATGTAGAGTTTAAAAAAAAAAAATTGAAATTTATTTTCTTCAAATGTCATTGTTTATTTGTGTAGCTATAAATTACTATATAATTAAGAATAAAATACTAAGTTTAAAATTTAAATAGAATGGTTCACATAGTAAAAAAAATAGCTATACTAAAATAGAGAGTAAGGTAAAATTCGCAAGCTCAAGATTGATATCACTTTTTTTTTCTTTATTTAAAGATTTATATCAGTTGTGTTATACCAGTTATTTAATGTTTCACAAGTGTATGATGATACTTTGCAATTAAAACTGTTAAGAGAATAAAATTTGGAAAGAATAAAGAGATAAAGAGATAAAGGAAAAGTCTCTACACCTCTAGCTCCTTTTCTTTTGTTGTTAAAATAATAGTCAAATAAAGAAGTAAATTACTTTCTTATCCTAGCCATATCCCCTTTTGTTTTTATTCTTTTATATTAGTATATATATTGTATTTGTTGGTTGTGAACAAGTATATAAACGTAATGTTTAATTTAAGGTAAAAAAACTTACTCCTTTGATATCAGTTGAAGTGCAGCCCATTATTAATTGTTCCAATTCAGATGCAGACCTTGCTCCTAGTTTATGATGCTGTTGTTGCTGCCGAAAGATGATACACTCAATTAGAACATAATCATATTTGTGATCATGTATTGTCTGCAACAAACACGGATCGATGCAGATTATTTCTTCTTTCCTATTTTATTTTTTTACCTCACACATATATATAAACTCATCATGTTTCCTAATGCACTTCTACTTATTACATGCCACTCATTATCCCATCCCTACGGGTTTAACTTATACATTTTTAATCTATAGCATTCCTAATTTATATGCCAAATAATATAATAGGCACTATTAAATGCCGACTAAATTAGTTACTTTTAAAAAATAATTTCATATGTAATCTAAGCCAAAGAAATATTGAGTTAAGATGAAGCTAGTCTACTCACTAAATCCGCCCCTAAGTAACATGTCTTATTTGTAAATTACAAATCTCACTTTCAATGAACAATTACACATAATTATCTTTCTAATGAGCTAATATCATAAAAGTTACAAACTCAATCTCAATTTTTGTGGCACGGTTAGAATTTTGAGATTTAAATTTATAATTTTTTTTTTATCGTGAGTTCAAACATAGAAACTTTATGTTCTTTTAAATATCATTTATATATTTAAAAACTACATAAAAGATACTTTAAATTATAATAATTTAAAAGATTGTTTTAAAAAATCATTTACTCTCAAAATCTCAACTGTAGCACATAAATTTGGATGGGTAGAGTACTTAAGACGGTAAGGAATTTAAAGTGTATGAATTAGAATACTCTTTTTCTTTTAGCTGTCCCTACTTGATTATAAAAGGAAAAAGTAAGAAGAAAGTGATTCTGTTTCTGAGTTACCTGAAAGTTGTCATTTGGAAGGATTATAGATCTTGGAACATGGAAGGCATCTTCCCCTAAGATGACGGAAGTGTTATGGAGTGGAGGCGGAGTTATAATGGCTGATATTGGAGGTGTTGGCCTGCTAATGTGGAATGCACTGCTTGCAACTAGATGATGTTGGTGTTGGTGTTGGTGTTGGTGTTGGCGTTGGTGGAGCTGAGGATCATGTACGTTTTGCGGCTCCCCCATGTCACACTCTTCTGGTGCTGCTGCCGCTGGACCACTTTCTCTTGTTATTGAACCTTCACCTACGACAATGCCTGCCTGCAAAAAAAAAATTGTTTTTTTTTAATTTCAAGTTTCAAACTTAATGGTAGATTGAGATGGGTTTTTTTTGCTTCTTCTTTTTGATAGCTCAACAACAAAAATAAAATATTGACAGTCAAGTATAGTAGTACAATTTTCGTTGATATTTAAGCAATGTGCATGTGGAAACTGAAAAACCGCTAGCGTTTATTTGCTTGTGTCTTGTTGAATTTGACATTTCATGGAGTTTAATAGTTGTTGATGAGTCTTAGGACAAAATACTATTATCTGCTATCCTACATATATATATCATGTGACGAAAATTGCCTGATATTAGACATTTTTTGAAAATTCAAATATAACACTAGAATATGAAGAGCTTTTATCCAAAGTGTAGCTAGAATCGTGTAAGGTGATTTAAAGAATGAAGATTGAATACCTGATCATGATCAAAGGTTTTCCTAAATGGGAGAAAGCTAAAATGTTCAGGTTTGTATTGTTGAATATCCATAGTAGAGTAACTAGACATAGCAGCACAAACAGCAGCAGACAATTCATCCCTATGAGAAGGAAGATTATTATTATGATTATTATTATTGTTGATGTCCTTAGACGACGAACAGCTTCCACTTCCACTATCCCTTCTGCTATTAACATCACTGTTGGCTTGATCTCCAGCAGCACTGCTTGTAGTGTTACTCCAATTACATTGCCTTGGTTGAGTCTGATAGAATATCTTTGACACCACAAGTTCACCTTCTTTCTCTTCTTCATGTTGTCCTAAATGGTATTGATGCATTACCCAATTTGTCTTCTCCGGTTTACGGTTCTTCCCAAAGTTTGTGTATAGAACTAGAATTTTCTTACACCCTCTTTGCTTCCCATTCACCATTACTGGCCTAGTCTTACCTGTCTTGTGCCAACGGGTTTCACCTCCTTGCAAGTCTTGACATTCTGTTTGGATTTTCCTTCTTTTTCTTGTACCTGTTGTGTATGCTTTTGATGGTCTGTGGAAGAAATGTCTACTTAGTCCATCCCTTGTAACACCTAAACAAAAATAAAAATCAAAGTTAGGTCGGACAAACCCAAAAAATAAAACAATTCACATGTCTACATGGTTTTTTTTTTCCGATAACTAATTCTAATTATTAAGAGCAATATAATTATGTTTGATATTGTGGGTGTAGAAAAGTTAAAAACTCTTTAATTTGTTGAATGTGAGTGAGAAAAAAACATGACAAGGAGAATAAAGACAATATTTGTTCCTTGGAAATTACAAGAAAGGTACAGATATAGTATATAACCTAAGTGGTTGAATTATGGTAGAAGAAAATGCCAATATTTGTAGGTAGGAGAGAAAGAGTTGAAAACCTGGAAGCTTCTCAGGATGAGTATAGCAAATCCCATCTTCTCCTTCAATAGTAGGAATGAACTCATCAATCAAAGGGTGGGATTTTGATTCTTTAGCCACTACTTTTGCTTCAAGGTGTTCTATCAATTCTTGATCTGTTGGGTCAAACTTCACTCCTGCTGGTAGACCTACCCAGTCCTATAGTAATAATAATTAAAACATAGTAACAAAATACTCTTCATAAACATAAAACCTCGAAAATTAAACACCCTTTTGAAATCACAATATTTCTGGAATTTAAATCAAAAACATATTTCTGTAGTGTGAATACTTTTTTTTCAATATCTTAGCTAAATCATAGCCTGTTTTTTTTTTGTTATGGAAATCTTTGTAAAGAAGCAAAGAATATTAAAATTAAGTAAGTAGTATTTATTAAAGTAAAATTTGTACCGGCTTTCCTTCGAGCTTGTGTCCACAACCAGGACACTGCTTAGATCCACACAGTTGGTGTTCTTCAAGCTTTGCATCAATAAGATCACTACTGCTGATGGATCCCAACTGATGACTACTCTTATTCATCGCTTTTTTTTTCTTTTATATTCCTAGACGATATAAATGATTCCTTTCTCTCTTTTTTTAAAAAAAAACTATTATCACAGCTAAAATTCTTCCATAGGATCCTCAATATTTACAACTTTGGTATCAAGCTTGGTAGACATAAAGAATCCTGTGAACAAAAAAAAAACATTCAGAAACGAAAAAAGGAACACTCCAGTAGTAGTTAATAAAATCGAAGATCCGTCTCTTCAACAAGAGAAGAAAATCCTATAATTCTAACATGGATAGACAAGTATATATATATATATATATATTACAAATAAAAAAATAGGAACAAGTTAATAAGATGGAGTTGTACCCTAAAAAACTGGAAAAGGGAGAGAGAAGAGTAGAGAAGAGAAGAGAAGAGAATAGAAAAGAATAAGGATGAAGATATATATAAAACCAACTTTAAGGCCCTTGAAAACATGAGAATTTCCTCTTACTTTAACTGAAACAAATTAAGAGATAAAGGAAAAGTTGCCACATAGATATATCCCTGTCTTCTATATGCCCTACCTTTCCTAATTTAAGCACTGCATGAAGACGTTTTTTCTGTGTGAATGAAAGAGAGAGAAACAAAGAAAGATAAATCTGGGTCGGTTTTCACTCTCTCTCTCTCTCTCTCTCTGTTTGTAAAGCTATAAAAGCAACCTTCTTACACCTTTGTTTCGAGTCCCCTTGACTACTAAAGCAAAAGCTTCGTCGGAACGTCCTTCACAAAAGCACATCTACCCTCACACCCCTTCCTTTTCTTTACTTATAACTAAACATATATATTTAAACGAATATGTCAATAGTATTTTTTTACTATATAAGTGACGTCAATCTCTTTTTTTTTTAAAATTATACTGGTGTATAAAATTTAAATTCATTAAAATAATGCACGATATATATACAAGAGTTTGTGTTATGTACAAATAAATTTGACTGAGTATAGTCTTAATAAAATAATTTATAACTTATTTTATATTACAAATTTTAAAAGTATATATATCATTTTCATAAGCTTTGCGTAAAATCAAATTATAAATTTGAAGTGAGTGAGTACATGATTTGAATAAATAAAAATACACGTAAGATTTGAAGAAACAATCTCTTTTGGGGTGCTTTGCAAAGGAATATTTATTTATACTCCGTCTGTCTTTGGTAATTAGCTCACAAATTAAAGTAGTACTAGCTAGTACATTTGATGTATTTATTTGATTCTCCTTTTGATAGAAAATATCTTGAGAGAGTGAAACTAATTTTATTTTTAAAAATAGTTTCTAAAAATATGAAGAGTGACAGGATTCTTTATGAAAGGAAACAAAAGATAATTTAGTAAAAGGAAATAAAAAATGATAGAAATTCACATGGGTTTTGAGCTGGAGTAGTAATCATGATTCTTTTGGCATGTATGTCCCTGAAAGACATACTAAAGGAGAGAGACTGGGGTGGGGTTA